CAAACTGCAACAAAAAATAGCCAGGCGTTGTGGCGGATGCCTGTGGTCCCAGCTACTCAGGAGGCTGAGGCAAGAGAATTGCCTAAGCCCAGGAGCTGGAGGTTGCTGTAAGCTGTGATGCCACGGCACTCTACCGAGGGCAACAGAGTGAGACTCTGTCTCTAATTAAAAAAAAAAAGAATAGCATTTCAGCAAGTGAAGGAGAAGGGAGAAGGCATTCTGAGCTGAGGGAATAGCAGAGCAAAGGCATGGGGAGTAGGTTTCACTTACCAGGTGAGTAGCCAGGTGTGGCCATGGCATATGTTCTCTCCTGAGAGCGCTGGGGAGCCTCTGAAGGTTTTGAAGCAGGGCACATGACATGATCAGAGATGCAGTTTTAAAAGCAGGGAAGAAGTTACTCTTCTTTGTTTTCTACCAGCCCCTTTGAGAAGCTATGGAAGACCCCAACCCTGACATGTCATCCCCCTCTTTTTTTTTTAGGCTCATCCAGTGAGGGCTGGAAGTTGAGGGCTCTAGGCCCAGGCATCAGTGGAGACCATGGCCCCTAGCCCATGGGGCTGTGTATGTGGCTTCCTGTTGCTGTTGCTGCTGCCATCCCAGAGGGCTGGCCCTGCCCTGGGCAGGGACCTTCCCAGGCCACTGGAAGACTCAAAAACCCACTTAATCCCAAGAGTACACCTTAAGGGTACTGTGGGCTCAGAGCCCCAAACCTTTGACTTCTGGGATAGCCCCAGAGATGAGATCCCGTGGAATTCCAATGGCCCCCACAACCCTGCTGAAGAGATGTCTACAAAGCCTGCAGACTCTGCCTCTGGCCCAGCCCTGCATGGGCCCAAAGCAGCCCCTGGGGCTCAGAGAGAACAACTCCCAGTAATTGATGACCTCCAGATGGCTCGAGGGCCAAGTTCCCAAGGATGGACAGGACCTCCTGACTCACAGGAGCCTCTGGAGCAAGAAGTACTGGTCCCTCAATCAGTTGGGTCCCCTCCCCTCACTTTCATCCCCACAACTCCCAGACTACAACTCAGGGTAGCCACTGTTCCTCCTGCTTTGGAGCCTGGAGGCAAAGTGGGACAGCAATCACCTATAGAAGAGGGTCTGACAGCTAAACCCAAGACCAGGGTCCTACACACCTCTCCCTCTGATCACCAGGGCCCTCCCCACACTCTTGTGCCCCACTCAGGCACTGTCAAGAGGCCAATGCTGGAAGAACAGAGTGGGCAGAAGGGGGACTTCCAGGAGGCAGTACAAGGCCCCCTCTTCACCCAGCAGGATCCAGAAACCCCTGAAGCTGGCACGGTATCTGCAGTTGAGGGGGCGTCCTCTCAGGAGCCTGCTGCCCAGCCAGACTTGGCGTTGGCCAGAAGCCTTCCTCCTGCTGAGGAGCTGCCAGTTGAGCCCCCTCAAAAAGCTGGAGCTGGGGAGGCCTGGGAAGTTAGCTCCCCAGGTCCACCGCCCAAGCAGGCTGGCCTCCCTGATACTAAGGGTTCACCAGGACCCCAGTCCACAGGTCCTCCCATCTCAGAGGCTCTGGATAGGCAGTCCAAACCAGGTGGGTATCAACGTGAGGATGCTGAGTGGGGATGGGAAGGGGCAATGTTCCAGGGCAGCTAAGTGTCCCAGTTGTCTGACTTCTGGGTCCCTCTGGGTCTTGTTTTGGTTTTTTTTGCAAATGAAAGTGATTGTCCCTCCCCTCTTGGGTTTTGAGGACCATGGGGGTGGGAGGGTGTCTGGCAAGATGACTGCTTTTATTTTATTTTATTTTTTAGAGACAGAGTCTTATTTTGTTGCCCTCGGTAGAGTGCTGTGGCATCATAGCTCACAGCAACCTCTAGCTCTTGGGCTTAGGCCATTCTCTTGCCTCAGCCTCCCTACTACCACCACAGTGCCTGGCTATTTTTTGTTGCAATTTGGCCGGGGCTGGGTTTGAACCCGCCACCCTTTGTATATGGGGCTGGTGCCTTACTCACTGAACCACAGGCACTGCTCCATGACTGCTTTTGTCATTTCAGAGATAGCAGCAATTAATGGAGCAGACCCTATCTCCCCCCAGCGGGTGAGAGGAGCGGTGGAGGCCCCAGGCACCCCCAAGTCCCTGATTCCTGGTCCCTTGGATGTTGGCCCATCTACAAACCAAACAGAGAGCCCTGTGAGAGCCTTGCAGCCAGGTGAGGGCATGGCTGGGGGTTGGGGAGAGGGAGTTTCTGTCCAGTACTAAGAACTGTGTGATATATGGGATCTAGAGGGTGGGAAGTGAGGGGGGACAAATACCCACTTAAAGGAATGAGCTAGGAGCTCCTTTAGGATAATAAACTAATACTGGGTACTCTGGGAGAAGTCATTTGCCCCTTGGGGGCTACAATGTTCTTATATGTAACATGGACATATTTAGTACAGTGATTCTCCAACTATGGAGAGTGGCAAAGTGATTTTTTTTTTTTTTTGAGACAGTCTCACTTTGTCACCCTCTGTAGAATGCTGTGGCGTCATACTTACAGCAACCTCAAAGTCTTGGGCTCAAGTGATGCTTTTGCCTCAGCCTCCCAAGTAGTTGGGACTACAAGGTGCTCACCACAACGCCCAGCTATTTTTAGAGACAGGAGTCTCTTGCTCAGGTTGGTCTCCAACTCCTGAGCTCAAACAATCCTCCCAGAGTGCTGGTATTACAGGTGTGAGCCACCTTGCCCAGCTTGGCTATGTGGTTCTAATATATAGCACATGTAGGGAACTGCTGAGATACTATTTCCCTAATAGTATCTTTAATAAAAACCATAGTTCACATCTGTTTAGTTCTTATTGGGTGTCTAGTACCATGGTAAACATTTGTCCTCTCCATAAACCAATCAAGTGGGTACTGTCATCTCCACACAAGAGAATGGTAGAAAATCAAAAGTACTTTTCAAAGGGCTATTTTAATATTGTTATTATTGCAGATGAAGCCGAAGAGTGGTCCGGGCGTCCCCAAAGCCATCCCCCAGCACCCCCAGTCCAGGCCCCCTCAACGTCACGCCGGGGTCTCATTCGAGTTACCACGCAGCGAGCCTTGGGCCAGCCGCTCCCTCCGGAGCCCTCAGCCAGCTCCATGGCTTCAGCCCCAGCCTCTAGCCCCCCAGCCAACGCTACCGCACCCCCCCTGCGCTGGGGACCCTTGCGGCGGGTGCTGAGCTTTTCCTGGGAGCTTCACGTCTACGGGGTGGGGGTGCTGTTTCTGCTGCCCGCGTTGTTGGCCTTGGCTTCGCTGGCAGCAGCCCCGTCTGGGCCCTGGTTGGCACTGGTGGCTGCAGTGCTAGTGCTAGTGGCTTCTGGGCTGAGATCCGCCTACATGCTCACCGACCCTTATGGCTCGCAGGCGCGGCTGGCGGTGCGCGCCGGACTGGTGCTCTACAACCTGCCCTTCCCCTTGCTACTCACGGCACTGGCAGCCTTAACCCTGCTGGGCCTAGGATCAGCTCTGCCACAGCCACTGCAGCACCCACTCCTGCTGGGAGCCTTGGCGCTAGTCCACGGCGTGGTATTGCTTGCTACAGATCTGCTGTCGGCTAGGCCTGTGTTCAACCTCCTGGCACAAGGCTTGTCCTGTGCCTGGGGTGCGGCCGTGTCTCTAGGCACGCTCTGTCTGTGCCGTCGCCGCCTGCTGGATGGGTCACGGGGCTGGGATGTCAGCCCAGGCCCGCGGCTGCTGGCTGTGGCAGGTGCGCTGGGGCTGCTGGCCAGCGGCTTGCAGCTGGCGGCCGCGCTTTGGTTGTACCCCGGCCCTGGCCGGGTGGGCCGCTTCTCGTGGGCCTGGTGGGGTGTCCACTTCTGGCTGCGCCTACTGGAGCTGACGTGGGCGCTCGCCCTAGCATTGGCCGCTTTGGCAGCAGCGAGACCTAGGCCGCCTACAGAGCACGCCTGCTGGACTAAGCTGCTGCGCCTGGCTTGTCCTGCGCCATCGGGCAAGAGCGAGGTGCCGGAGCGTCCCAATAACTGTTACGCAGGGCCCAGTGGCGTGGGCACAGGCAGCTTGGACATCAGCAAGAGCCTCATCCGTAACCCGGCGGAAAGTGGGCAACTGGCCACGCCCAGTTCAGGTGCCTGGGGCTCGGCTGCGTCTTTGGGTCGCGCACCCCATGGTGGCCCAGGACTGTCCCGCAGCAGCGTAGGGCCGGCGCCATCGCTGAGCGAGCTGGATCTGCGGCCGCCATCGCCCATCAACCTGAGCAGCAGCATCGACGCCGCGCTCTTCCGAGAGCACTTAGTTCGAGACAGCGTGTTCCGGCGCTGCGGCCTGAGCGGCCTGGCCTCGCCGCCGCCTGGAGGCGCTCTGCGGCCACGCCGGGGCAGCCATCCCGATGCCGAGCTGGATGGCGCGGGCTCTTCGCTCCTCCGAGGCCGCTGCAGGTCACTCAGCGACGTGCGCATGCGGGGCCCGGTCCCACAGCATGTGGCGGACGAGCCCGACGGGGCAGCCGCGGGGGCTTCTGGCAGCTCCCTGGACAGCTTCTCCAGGGGCTCACTCAAGATCAGTTGGAATCCGTGGCGTCACGGGCTGTCGTCAGTGGATAGCCTACCCCTAGACGAGCTGCCCAGCACAGTGCAGCTACTCCCTGCCCCGACCCCGGCCCCTGACACTATTCCAGCTCGGTCCCGGGAGCCCCAGGGCGAAGTCCAGCCTCGCTGCAAGTCTGGGGACTCCCGCAGCGCCTCCAGCGATACCATCGAGCTCTGAAGGGTCCTAATTGCAGGACCAGGACCTTGTTCTCGATGCCTACATGGCACAGCTCACTCGAACAGTTGAGTGTTTGAAAAACTGGCATTCCTGGGCCTCCGCCTGACTGCAGCCCCCTAGAAGCAGCTGGATAGGAACCCTACCACCATGCCCCGTTGTTTTTGTTTTTTTAGTATCTCTACTTTTTTCAGCCGGTATTTTGCACAGAGGTCGTGGCTTATGCGGAATACAGGGTGGATGTGCATGGATTTGGGCATGGGGAACTGGGAGCAGATGCCCCAGACTCTCCAATGGGGAGAGAGTGACTGTCCCGATTGACTCTCCTCTTCGTGCCAAAGAAATAAACCCTTAGGACTTGGCTCATGCCTCACTCTGGCCGTGCCAGGATTCTCTACTCAGATATTGGAGGCTCCGCCCCAGTAATTCCAAGTCCTGTGTATACCGGGAAAGGGAGGACTTCCAAGGAAGATTGCTTGACCCTTGGAAGCTTTGGTAACAGGGGGAACCAATCTCTTACGGGACATCTACTATCTGTCCTGAACTGTCTAGCTGTTCACATTCATCACCTTACTTCTCACATTAAGCCTGAGTGGAAAACATTATCAGGCCAATTTTAGGAATGAGAAAAATAATGTTCAGAGGCAAAAATCATCTGTAGAAGGTCTTCCAACAAATGACAGCTGGTATTAAGCCCAGAAAGTTCCACTCCTAAGCCTAGTTTCTCTATACCCTTCTCTTAAAACTACTTCAGGGCCAAGCCTCTCCTCTGTCCTCACTCTGCTCTTTTCTCCTCCCTCTAGTCCTCCATCAGGGCAGCTCTCAATTTGTCAGGGTTTTAGAAAACTTTTTCAAGGTGATGGTGGTGGGATAGGTAGTAAGACGGAAACTTTTCCATTTTCCAAGACCTTTCTTTATTTCCTGAGATAAATAAATAAGTGGTGGGTGGGGATGGGATGAATACAGAACAAGAGCTGGCAGCATGCAGCTGGCAGGTAGGTGGGGGCTGTCACAGCCCTACCCCTGTGGGGACCCTCTCATCCTGGATAGGGGCCAAAGCTCACTAGCAGCTACCATAAGGAGAAACTTTTCTTTTAAAATTCACACTGTGAAGCCTGCCCAATTCCCCTCAGCAAAGATCTCATGGTATCTACCTTCAGGGCTACTTTTTCACCCCTGGGGCCTCACCTGCCCAGGCCTGAATACCTGGGCTGCTCTGTAAGGCAGGTGGGGGGTGCTTACCCCACTCTCAAAAATAAACCAAGCTGCTCTGAGTGTCCAGCAGGAGAGAGGCCCAACCTCTGCAGACAGCCTGGGTGGGAAGAGACCCTGCAAGTGGTGACAGGGATTATCTGCCCTTGATGAAGCCCTCCAGCACACGGTCACTGCGCTCTGACAACCAGTAGCCAGTCATGGCTGCCACAGCCCCAATGAAGATGGCGGTGAACACTAAGTCACCCTTAGCAGCCAGTGTGGCGAGTGCACAGATAATGACACCAAAGAACATCTGCTGCAGCACCACTAGCTCATCCTCTGTCATCTCTGAGAAGAAGCCTGCCGACTCTGCGGAGGAACAAGAAATGTTCCTGTCACTCCTACCCCTGTTCCTGGCAGTTCCTGGAACCTCCCCAGGACTCCCACATGCCTGCCCAGCACGCAGGCACACAGCATCATTTACTGCTCAGAAAGACTCTCAAATGGGCAGTTATTATCCTTCACTAAATGAGAAACTGAAGTTCAAATAGGTGAAGGGGCCCAAGCTGCACAGTGGGTGAGTTGGAGGAAAGGCATATATTCCAGGTATGAGGCCAGCCCCAGAGCCAGACTGCCTGGATCTAAATCCCAGCTCTGTAGCCTGCTGGCCACACAGCCCCGCTTCACCTCTCTGCATCTTAGTTCTCACATATGTAAAACAGAATGAATGAGAACAATACCTATAGGGTTGGTTAATAATACCGACATTGGGTTGTTTTAGGAGCTAAATAAATTAATGTACCTTCCACGTAATGAACAACATCTGACATACAAGCTGGGGAATTGGTCCTTATGGTCATCATTGTGAGTACCCTGCATCTCACCACACCCAAGGCCTACAACAGCTCCCACCAGGCCAGGTAAGGAATGGTCCCCTTAGGCAGGTGAGGAAATAAGCTTAGGAAGACATATTAATTGGATGCCAAATCTGATTCTCTTTCTACCCTGGGAGGTGTGAGGCTGCCAAAGGCAACCTGGAGATCAGACTTGGGGTCCAGGTCTCAGTGTGGCCTTTTGGAGGCTGGATCTAAAGCTACCACTGCTACCTGGAAAAGGGGGTTGCCTGCCCTCCGGCTGGATGAGGACCTCCCCTCTCCCTTCCCCAGTACTCACCTGGGATCTGCTCCTTCACGCAGATACCTTCCAGCTGTTTGTAGCCCTCAACACAGACACAGCGATAACTGCCCTCAGTGTTCTCACACTGCTTGTTCTCTCCTGGACACACCTCTGTCTCACACTCGTCCACATCTTGAGGGAGGGCAGGGAAGGGTCAGAGTCCTGACTGCCAGGGCCCAACGTGCAGCACCCCGACTTCTCACATCCTGACACTGGCCCCTGCCCTTGTCCAGGCAACATCCCACCCTCCCTGCCCCTATTTTAGCCCCCTCTTGGTTTATGGTGGGTAGGACACTCCCAGGTGCCTGTACCCCATTGGCAGGAGACTCACCGAGACACTTGGAGCCCACCTGCTGGTAGCCAGGGCTACACTTTTTACAACGGCCTGGCCCTGCACCCATGCAGCCCAAGCAGGCCTTGGCACAGTCTGGAGAGGGAAAAAGAGGGGAAGAAGAATTTGAGAGCTATCCTGGGGCTTGGGGGACCCAAGCTCCAGAAGAAGAAGCCTAGCAGGGATCTGGAGTTTAAGAAGGGAAATATATATATATATTTTTTTAATTGAGACAGAATCTCACTTTATAGCCCTCAGTAGAGTGCTATGGCATCACAGCTCACAGCTACCTCCAGCTCTTGGGCTTAGGCAATTCTCTTGCCTCAGCCTCCTGAATAGCTAGGACTATAGGCACCCACCACAATGCCTGGCTATTTTTTGTTGCAGTTTGGCTGGGGCCAGGTTCGAACCTGCCACCCTTGGTATATGGGGCCAATGCCCTACCCACTGA